ATTGAGGTACAGAATGAAACATACGTATACATATGTGTATATGTGTGTGTATGTATATATGTGTGTATACCCTTCTAATTTTTCTTTGTGAAAACTCCCAAAGTCTTCCACAATTGGATAAACACAGGCAAGGGTTGTTCTTTAAGACTTGCTTCCTCCCAAAGGCAGCAGTTGCTCTTACTTTTATTGGCTGTGCAGCTACTTCTCTTCCTCTGGGGTTTAACTTTTATAGCCCATCCCCAGGGCTCCTCTGTTCCTCAGGCTCTCTTCTCAGGGGAAGTGTCTGCTCATCTGTACCTTGCAGTTCATTCTAACTGTTATACTCATGGAATGGAGACACATATTGGGACATGGCTAATGGAAGAATTTGTTTTTCTTGGCTATGCATATTTGTTATAAGAGGAAGAGGTAGAGAAAATCAATTTTTATTAAAAAATTAATTTAGAAAACCCAATGGGAATTGTTAACTTACAGAATTCAATAAAGACTAAATCAACTGCTTTATAGAAACATACTAGGGTTTGTTTTATGTTTCTGAAATAGCTACCAGCAGGAACTATTTAAAAGCAGTGCCTAATAGGTCTAGAGTGGTCTGTAGCTATGGTGGACCTTTTTTGGTAATTTTGGTACCCTTTGTCAGGATCTGACTTAACAATAACAATACATGTCTCTGTTACACAAAAGATTAATAAAATCACTTTGGTAAAGGATCCAAAACAAGCCTTCCCACTGATCACTGGATCAAGACATATAGGAGTATAACAGGGATCCTTAAACACTTGGTTTCAGCTTTAGATACTAAATTGACTTTTTCCCATTAATGCTAAGGGGATTTTGTCAGATGCTTATTACTTTCAGTAATAAGAAATAAAAAGTTTTTTTTTAATTAATTTATTTTTAGTTTTCAACAATCATTTCCATGTTTTTGAGTTTTAAATTTTTCTCCCCTTCCCACCCCACCTCCTTCTGGAATCTGACATAGGCTTTACATATACATTCCTTTTAAACATATTTTCACATTAGTCATGTTGTAAGGAAGAATTAGAACCAAAGGAGGAACCACAAGAAAGAGGAAACAAAACACAACAGAAGAAAAAAAAAGAGCAAATAGTATGCTTTGATCTGCATTCAAATTCCATAGTTCTTTCTCTGGATGTGGATAGCATCTTCCAGCATGAGACTTTTGGAGATCCTTGCAATCAATAAATGTTCTTGCTGGAAAAGGGAATCCCTCACCCATCTGGAAATGATGAATGGTTTAGTCTGACAAGTCAGTGGCAGTGGCAGCAGTGGTTAGGTTACCTTTAGGACTTTTCAAGTCTCTCATCCTCATGTCATCATTGTTCAGTCATTTCAGTCATGTTGGACTCCTTGTGACCCCATTTGGGGTTTTCTTGGCAAACATACTGGAATGCCATTTCCTTCTCCAGTTCATTTTGCAGATGAGGAAACTGAGGCAAATAGGGCTAAGTGATTTTCCCAGGGTCCCACAGCTAGTGTCTGAGGCTGGATTTGAACTGTCTTCCTGATGCCACGCTCAGCACTGTACTCACTGTGCCACCTTGCTGCCCCTAATATTCTAATAGTTCACTTTTAATAGGATGATTATAATACTGTCTTACATTGTTTTCCAGTGGTTTTGTCTTCTGAACCTTTGTCCATAGTTCTTCAGGCACTCTATCTACCAGATAGAGTATAATCTACCATATAGGAGTATAATAGGGATCCTTAAACACTTGGTTTCAGCTTTAGATACTAAATTGACTTTTTCCCATTAATGCTAAGGGGATTTTGTCAGATGCTTATTACTTTCAGTAATAAGAAATAAAAAGTTTTTTTCTTATTAATTTATTTTTAGTTTTCAACAATCATTTCCATGTTTTTGAGTTTTAAATTTTTCTCCCCTTCCCACCCCACCTCCTTCTGGAATCTGACATAGGCTTTAACATTTCAATCTCCAATGATGTCATCTTTTTTTTGGTGTTATTTCTAGAAGATGTTATATGTCATCATAGAATTGAGCAACTTTGGCCTCTTTGGCATCAGTATTTGGAGTACAGACTTGTCTTACTGTAAGATTAAGTGGTTTGTCTTGGGAGTCGAACAGATATCATTGTAATTTCTGAAATCACACCCCAGTACTGCTCTCACCCTTTTGACCATGAGGGCTATTCCATTTCTTCTAAGGGATTCTTGCACAAAGTAGTTTATATACAGTTGAAGAAGTTGAGGGACATAGAAGCTAAGTGGCTAGGCCAGGGTTACATAGCTAGTAAGTATATGAGGTCAGATTTGAACTTTGGTCTTCTTGACTCCAGGCCCAGCATTCTATCCATTGTGCCATTAATGTATTTCTCTAATTTGGTATATTCATCCATATATTGTGCACCCATGTATATACACAAACTTTACATTGAATATTACTTTCCTCTTTTGGTTTCTTTTAGCATATTTCCTTTTAAATATATTTTGGTGGCTTTTTTTTTTACTTTGAATTCAATTTTGTCTGCTGTCATTGGTGTTGCTCTTTTCAGTTTGGGAGTTGCATGGTAAATTTTTTCATCTTTTCATTTTGGACCTATTTAGATATTTCAGGATTTCTAGTTAGAAAAGAACATATTATTGGTTTCACTTTTGTATTCTTTTTTTTTTTTGGAGAGTTTAGTCCACTTACATTTAATGTTATAATGAATAGATTTTTTTCTTCAAAGGGAATCCATATTTTCTTACTATCTTTATTATTAATGCAAGTTAAAGCTACTGTAAGCAAAGTTCCAGGGGGCAGCTAGGTGGCATAGTAGATACAGCACCTGGATTGGAGTCAGGAAGGCCTGAGTTCAAATGTGAACTCAAATACTTACTAGCTGTGTGACTCTAGGCAAGTCACTTAACCCTGTTTGTCTCAGACCCTCATATGTAAAATAAGCTGGAGAAGGAAATGGCAAACTACTCCAGTATCTTTGCTAAGAAAACCCCAAATGAGTTCATGAGTCAGTAATGTCTTTTTCTCACTTTGAATTTTCCCTTGTCCTCTTGAAAAGTTCAAGGTGATAATTATTATTATTATTCCTTAGTAAATGATGGGCAGCTAACTGGCACAGTGGATAGAGTGCTGGCCTGGAGTCAATAAGACGAATCTTCCTGAATTCAAATTAGGCCTAAGATACTTACTAGCTGTGTGACCTTGTGCAAGTCACTTAACCCCATTTACCTCAGTTTCCTCATCTGTAAAATGAGCCGGAGAAGGAAATGGCAAACCACTGCAATATCTCTGCCAATAAAATCCCAAATAGGGTCACAAAGAGTTGGACATGACTGAAATGACTGAAGAACAAGAAATAAACATTTCTATTTGGCTTTTTTTTTAAGCTTAGCTTTTTTCCCTTCGCTGTTGGAATTTAACTATGATACATCTGGGCACATTGAATTTTAGTTTTTGCCTTGTTAAGGTTCTAGGGAATTATTTTTATTTGTATTTTTCTAATTTTTCCTCCAATTTTTAGAAACTTTTGACAATTTCCAGAAATGTAATATTCAAATTCTTTTTCCTCCCACTAAATTTTCTAGACTACAGATTTATGGCCCTACAGACTATCCAGTCCTCTCTTTGTATGGATGACGAAACTAAGTCTTAGAGAGATGAAGGTACTTGCTCCCTAAGGTCACATAGGTAATAAACAGCAGAGTTGGGATTTGATTCTTTGACTTCAGATCCAGTACTCTTGACACAAAATCAGTCAGCTTTTCTTTATGCCTGCACCATACCCTTCCTTTTCCTATTCTATGAGAACCAATTTTTAAATTTCTAAAATGGTGAAATTGTATATTGGAGGCTTCTACCTTTAGTGTTTCCATCTATGATCTTCCTATAGGATCTCAGCTGTAAGTATACAGATTGCTATATTGTGAGCTTTTCTCCAGGTCTATCCCTTGGATCTGTATGGTTTCCATAGTTTAGATAGTTATTGTCTTTCTCTGAAATTATATTTCCAACTGTTCAGTATTGTGTACAGTTCTATTTTCTACTGCACTAAATCTGCTGCTGGTTGCCTCTGTGGAGTATTTTTTGAGTTCTTCTACTGTATTCTCTATTCTCCACATTGGCAATTTTTCATTATTTCTTCCCAGTCCTTTTAAAATATTTTAACTTCCTCTTGTGATTTTTTTTAGATGCTAAGGCTTTTTTAAATTTGAAAATAAATTAATTCATAATTTTCAACATTCGCTTTCATAAATTTTTGAGATTTAAATTTTCTCTGCCTCCCCCCTCTCCAACGGCATATAATCTGATACAGACTCTACATATACAATCTTATTAAACATATTTTCTCATTAGTCATATTGTAAAGAAGAATTAGAACAAATGGGAGGAACCACAAGAAAGAAGAAACAAAACAGAAGGAAAAAAAAGAGCAAATAGTATGCTTCAATCTTTATTCAGATTCCATAGTTCTTTCTCTGGATATGGACAGCTTTTTCCATTATGAATCATTTGCAGTTGTCTTAGATCCTTGTGTTGCTGAGAAGAGCTAAGTCTATCAAAGCCAGTCATCACATAATGTGGCTGTTACATGTTACCGTGTACAATGTTCTCCTGGTTCTGTTCCCTTCACTCAGCATCACTTCATATAATAAGTCCTTCCAGGTTTTCCTGAAGTCTGCCTACTCATCATTTCTTATAGCACAATAGTATTCCATTACATTCAGATATCACCACTTGTCCAACTATTCCCAATTGATGGGCATTCCCTCGATTTCCATTTCTTGGCCACCACAAAAAGAACTGCTATGTTTTTGTACATGTGGGTCTTTTTCTCATTTTTTTGATCTCTTTGGGATATAGCTCTAGAAGTGGTATTGATGGGTCAAAGGGCCTGTATATTTGGACACAGTTTCAAATCACTCTCCTGAATGGTTAGGTCATTTCACAACTCCACCAACAATGCATTAGTGTTGCAATTTTTCCACATCTTCTCCCGCATTTATAATTTTCCTGTTTTGTCATGTTGGTCAATCTTCTTGTGATTTTTAAAAACTCTCTTCAAGCTTTTACTGGTCTATTTTTTTTTAAAACCAGTGTTAATTGATATTTAATATCTTTGAATATGTCATTTGTCCATTTGAAGAGGTCTCTTTTGGATGTCTTACATGGTTAGTTTTTTAATTTAGTACTTTAACTGATTCAGTTGCTCTATAGCATTTTTAAAAATTGTACTGGCATTTGGCTTTGTTCATTTAAAAACTTTGGTTGATTTTTATTTTCTTGTTTTTTTTAAAAAATGATTTCTCTTTTTGGTCTATTTTTATACTTTTTATTTTTTTAGGGTGTGTGAGAAGCCTTCTTCCATTTAATCCTCCCATATCAATGTTTCCCTTATATCTTGAGATGCCACACTCCTCTGGTTCTTCTATTTCTCTAATGGTTTTTGCTCATACCTCTTTTTCTTCCCAATCTCTTAAGGTAGATGGATGTTCCCTAAAATTCTGTTTTCAGCTTATTTCTAGATCTACATTCTCTGCTTTGTCAATCTCATTTACTCCCACATTTTCAACTATTATCTCTGCATAGATGACTCCCAATCTATATTTAAAGCTCCAACTTCTCTTTCAAGTTCTACACCCACATTTCCAAAGATTAAGAGAACATCTTCACCTGGATTTCTGACATCACACACAAAACATTTCAAATTTGAACTGCCTATTTCTTTTACCCTCAAATTTGTTCCTTTTCAACCGAGGGACCATTTAGTTTCCTATGATCTTTTTGGCCCTTCTTTTTCTCCTATATCTCTTTCTAATCAGTATCACATTCTCTTGTTTATATCACTACCCTATTTCTTGTACCTGTTTTTTTCTGTATTCCTACTGTCACCACCTGAGTACCTGCCCTGCCTCAACTATTACTAATAGCCTAACAGGTCTTCCAGTCTTCAATCTCTTTCCTCCTTCAATCTATTTCTGATACAATAGTTAGACTAATTCTGTGTTCAAAGTATTTTATTCATTTCCTATTGCTTACCGAATAAAGTTTAAATGCCTTGCCCAAATTTTCAAGTTTTTCCACAATCTACTACTACTCTACATTACAATTTTTTTTTATGAACTTAACCATCATCAACAAACATTTCAATATACAAAGAACTACCTGTGTGATCTTGGGCAAGTTACTTAAATTCTATAGTTCTCAATTTCCTCATCTGTAAAAGAAAGGAGTTCACTATTTCAGAGATCTGAAGATGAATCTAGCTACCCATTGATAAGAGAGGTAATGAAACCAAAATGCAGAATGAGGCACACATTTTTGGCCAAGGACAATAAAGAAATTTGCTTCAATTGCCTATGAATATTGGTTTTTGTTGTTTTATTTGGGGGCTGGTGGAGAGAAAATGCTTAATTGAAAAGAAAAGATTTTAAAATGAAGGGGTTAGACTAAGTATCTTCCAGCTCTAAACATTTGATTTTGTAGACAAATACCTTTCCATTACAAAAAACTGCTGTCACGTTCTGAAAATCCCTTCAATTGAACCTTCCCTTATAAGCAAAATAAACCAAAAAACTGATCATGTCTGATAGCCTATGCTTCATTTAGCATCTGCAGTCGTTTACCACTTTACTGAGGGGAGGGATGTAGTTCATCATCAGTGCTCTGGAGTCAAAACAGACTATTCTTAAGACCTTTAGTTTTTCCCTCTGTATATTACGGTTATTATGTACCTTTCATCTTGGCTCTGCTTTCTTCACCCCTCCCCCCATCAGTTCATACAAGTTTCTCTGGATTCCACATTTTCATATAGAGCAATAATATTTTGATACACACACCCACATATACCTTCTGTCATAAAGGAATATTCCCAGTAACAATGCTGGGAACTGTACATTCCTGGCTTTACTTTTTAGTCAACCTGGTCCTTATGAATAAGCATTGTGCTAAATACTGGGGATACAAAACTGAGATAGTCCCCTTCCTCTATGAGCTTACAGTCCAATAGCGGGGATACACATATGGGGGACTGGAACCCAGAGAACTGATTTTTTTTTTAATCAAGGGCAACACTGAGATTATGAGCAGTAGACTGTCTCACCCTTTCTAGTAGCAATGGTAGCATTGATTTCACTGCTGTTCCTACAGTAAAATAGAGAGGTGGAAAGGAAAATGGTCATGATGGTACAGCAAAAGGAAGGATGCCCATGCTCGTTAGGTCCTGGTTATCTGCTGAACGGGTAGAATGGTATATGAAGTAGGTTCAGGGTTGGGCTAGATAGATATATGATGCCTGAGGTATTATATTCTCTTATCTAAGTGTCCACCTTTATATAGTCCTTTAAAGTGTGCAAAGTACTCCGCATTTGTAATAATCATTTGAGCATCACAGCTTCACTTTAAAGTGTTCTCACACCTATTTTACATTTTTCATATTGGTTACTCCTCTGCATTTACAGAGCCCCCGTGATAGTCCACACCCGGTTTAATCTCCAGTCCCGGCTATTAAATTGCCTGCTAAGTGCAACTCCCCCCAAAGCATCCTCCACATAGCGTCCTGTCTGTGCTGCTCTTCTATTCAAAACTCTTTGGTGGCCCCCTATTTCCTCTAAGACAAAATATAACCTCCTTAGCCTATCGTTTAAAGCCCTGTGAGCTCTGGCTTCCCCGTACTTTCCCCATATTTATTTGATATTACGCCCTTTCATTCTCTCTACTTTCCAGCCAAACTAACCCAGTAGCTACTCGCTGGCACTTGAAAACACAGCCCCCTTTTGCACAGGCCATCCTCCAAGCCTACATTCCCGCCCTCATTCTTGCCTGTGGTATTCCTTGCCCCTGGCAAATTCAGGTCAGGTCACCTCCTACAGACTAGGAATTACTTTGTACACATATATTGCCTATCTGTGTACTCGTCTCCCTCCAGAACAATGTAAAAACTCCTTTAGGGCATAAACTATTTCTTTTTGTCTTTGTAGTCCCAGGGCCTACCAGCTCGCCCTGGACCCCGCAGATGAAGCTGGTTAGCAGATGTTCGTTCAATCAATCGAGTAATATTTAGCTTCCACTACGTGCCAAGCAGGAGGAATGAATGGCTGTTGTTACAACTGAGGAAACGGAGGCTTACATAGGTAGTATGTGTAGATGCCGAATTTGCACCCAGCTCTCTTCTGATTTGAAATCTTAACCCGTTTCCCTCTCCCCCGCCCTGGGACCTCAGGCAGCAGCGGTTTGCTCGTCTCTTAACCCCTCGTCCAGCTCTTACTTTGTGTTTCCGGTTACTTGTGTATTCGGGTCTTCTCCCCTTCTCCCCTCCCTGCGTCTGTCTTGCCCCAGTGCGAGCGCAGGCCTTAAATGCAAGCTCCGGTGGAGGTGGCTGGAGACGGGGGGAGGGAGGTGGGGAAGGACCAGGATTTCCCTACGGGCCGGGCCCGCGTCTGCCAGGCCGCCGCGCGCCCGCGTACGTGGGGCCAGAGAGCACAACATGGCGGCGGCGGCGCCTCTCCGCGGCCCAGTAGTTCCCTCGGTTCCCGTCGTCGTCCCTCCAGCCAATGAGGTGGCGTCTCGGTTGGCGGGAAGCGGCCTCCTGCCGCCAGAGGGCGTCTTGGCAGGGAAGCCAAAGGACAGGAGTCGTAATCGCCGCCGCCGCCGCCGCCGCCGTTAGGGTGGGAGCCGTGAGAGAAGACACCTAGGCGTCCTGCAGCGCTGCCTTCGAACCTTCGCCGTCTCGGTCTCCGGCTGCATCCCTGGACAGGCCCGCTCGAAAGCTGTAGGTACCACACCCCGGCTGCGGCTCTTAGGGTTAGGGGGAAGCGGAAGGGGCGGGGGCGGCCTAGACCCCTTCACAGAGACTCCTCTCTCCACCGGGACCCGCACCCCACCACGCCTTTTAGGCCGGGGCCGACGTCTCCGGTCGTCCCCTGGGCTACGATTCCAGTCCCCCCCCATGGCTACTCCCCCCCTCTCGCCGGCGCGCGCCCGCAGGGAGCCGTTAACCGCCGCCCCCTTCCCCTCTCTACCCTTCCCCCAGCCCCACTGGAGCTGGGGTGGGCGCGCGAGCGCCCTAGGAGGCGGGATCGGAGCCGGCTACCCGAGGCTTCCTTTCATATTTGTTAAATGCCTGCTTGGGCCAGGCGGGGGGTGGGGTGGGGGATTACAAAGAGACAGGCGCCTCGGGCCCTGCTCCCTAAGTAGCTTTCGATTTCAGAGAGAGAGAGAGAGAGAGAAGAGAGAGAGAGAGAGAGAGAGAGAGAGAGAGAGAGAGAGAGAGAGAGAGAGAGAGAGAGAGAGAGAGAGTGAGTGAGTGAGAGTGAGAGTGTGTGTGTGTGTGTTGCGGGGGGTGTCTTGTGCCCACATCTGTGTGTCTTCCGGGAAAAAGCGTGACCGGCTAGGTGTAAAGAAGAGGGGGCTGTGAGAAACTGGGAGGAGCGAGAAATAAAGTTTAAGTCAAGTTAACCAGCATTTGTCCAGCGTCCACTATGTGCCAGGCACTGCGCTGACGCTGAGGGGTAGAAAGAAAGGCGGAAAGCCCGGCCCCTGTCCTGCGGGAGCCCCGAGTCGGGGGGAGGGGCCACGGTGTGTAAACAGAATAGATACAGGATAAACAAGTTGGAGGTCTCCTTTTAAGCCGGTCCTGGAGGGCCTCGAGGAGGAGGAAGTAGTCCAGCTGCATCCTGAAGAAAGGGAGAGGGGACTTGTGAGCAGTGAATGAAGAGGGTTACCTACCTGCTATGGAGGATGGATTGCAAAGGGAAGGGGTCGGAGTGAGAGGGACTGGTTAGGAGGCAATTACTGAGAGACCGGTTGAGAAGGAATCGACAGTGGTTTATTAATCCCTGGCTTTGTGTCTGGTGTTGGGGGACAGTGACAGAAATGAACATTGGCTCTCAAAGTTAACGTTCTGTGGAGGTAGTGTACCAAGTGCACACAAAACAAATTGAAGGTAATTTGGGGTGGGAGAGCACTAGTACTAGGATGGGCTCCATATACATATATATAATATGCACAGATATACATAAATATATGTGTATTTGTGTATATGTAGATATGTATGCCTCTCCTGTATAGTATACACACAAAACCAACGGATTCCAAGAGGTGGAGGTGAGGTGGAATAATATAGGATTGATTTCATGAAAGTGGAAGGGAACAAGATAGATGAGAGAAATAATTGTCTGGAAGATTCAGCAGGACTTAGTAACTATCTTTTCATGTTAGGAGTGAGGGCTTACCCCAGCTTCCTCTTGCCAGGAGAACCTATTGTCCCATTTGGATGGATCCACCTCATACTTCCCCTTTCCTCTCTTCCCTCTTCAGTTTTGATTGAGAAGTCATTTGCAACAGACCAAATGTCACAAGATTATGCACTTGTCTAGCTGGAAGGGGCTTTGGGAAGTCACCATTTACCTCAGGCCCCTCCTTTTACATAGGAAGAAACAGGTCTAGAGAGGTAAAGGTGTTTGCCCTATGTCACACAAGTAGTAAATCACTGAGATGTGATTTGAATATTTCTTCTGACTCCACATTTAGTGTCTGTTTTCATTATACCATTATATTAAACACTGAAAAGCATTTAGAGCTGCACATTCACAGGGGGAGAGGTAGGAAGGAAAAAGAGTAAAGGATTAGGGGCTTGAAAACTAGAGAGTAAAAGTTGAGGTGCTGTCTGGACAAAAGTGACATTCCCCTAGATTTTGAAGCCTTTACTCTGATTTTCCCTAACTTGTGATAATCATGTTTGTTAAACTTAAGAACTTTAGGGCTTGTCCGTGCATTTTTTTTCCCATTAGCTGTGACTAATGTTGTTTCTAAAAGATACATTGTCTCTTTGGAATTTGTTTGCTAGTTACTTTGTGGCAACTTTCTGGCTTTTCATTTAGGATCCACTTTTCTAGGGCTAGTGGCTACTGCCCTTACATACTTGAGGTTTGGGTGCTCACATACCAGATTTTTTTTTTTTACATTTTATGTATTGTGAAGTCTAAAGTTTTCCTGACCTGAAGTCAGTTATAGATAATTAGTCCTGTATTTTGGAAAGGTCACTCAAGAGGAATATTGGAGTTGTTACACATGGTGAAATTACTAGATGTGGAATTGAAGATGGGGTCTAAAGAGACTTTTGTCACTTACTAGCTTTGTGACATTGAGCAAATTACTTAACCTTTCTAAGCTTCAGTTACCTTATTCATCAAATTCCTATCTGGTTTGTCATGGGGAACACATAAGTAAATATTTATAAAGAGATACGTTTAACTTAACTGTTATTATTAAAGGACAAGGCCTGCTGTGGTTAATTATGAGAATAGCTTTCTGAATAGTCAGATCAGTGGTTGGGATTGTTTTCTCACTTTACGGTGTTGTAAGTCCCTTCTCTAGTTAAAGACATTCAATTTATAGATGATTTGGATATGTGATATCCACCCCCCCTCCTTCCACTTATCCATTTCTATTTCTTTGCCAGGAAACAGGGAGAATAGATGTTAAGCCCAAATTTGTTAAATAGGTTAAAATATGCTGTGAAAATTTAAAAATAAAAGTATCAGTCCTCAATGTGTAAGACTGGACTTGAACTTGACTGTCCATTTTGGTATGTTTTATGAACCAAAACTTTTTTTTTTTGGCAGTTAGGGTTAAGTGACTTGCCCAGGGTCACACAGCTAGTAAGCAATTTTTTTTTCATATATGGATTGTTAGGACAACTTCTTTTGAATGGTTTCAGATTTCACTGAGAAAGTCTTCTGGTATTTGATGCAATCATCAAAATGTCATCTCTATAAAACCTAAGAATGGTCTGTGTCTATATCAAGGATTTAGTGGAAAGGGCAGTGGAGTTGTAGTTAACAAATCTGGATTTAAATCCTTGCCTCTACCATTCAGTGGTTGTGTGACGTTGGGCAAGTCATAACTTCTCAGGGACTCAGTTTTCTCATTGGTAAAATGAGGCATCTATCTATCCCTGCAGTTCTAACTATGATCTTAACGATGGAGTTCTTAATGCAGGGTGGTAAATGTTTTAATCTGCTGAAAAGGTCAAATTGGGTGACTTGTATACAGGTGGATTTTTTTTTTCTGTATGAAAAAAGAATAGGATATCATTTGTCTTTCTAAACTTGTCCAGTTATTTTTGAAGTCTCTCTAGAAAGAAAATTGTTTTATTATGTTTTAGTCTAGAAAAATCAAACAAGCCAGGAAGTGAGTGGTCACATTTACTTTTACTTTACTCATATTGATTGCTATAGACTTACTTCAGTTCTGAAAAGTGACTCACATTTATTCCCATAGTACCTTTTGAAATAAACAAAAAAAGCCTACAAAATGAATTTGGTTGTCAGTACAAGAAAGATGGAAAATTTTAGTGCCCTTTGTTTCCTATATGGATAAATAACTTTTTAGTTATATTTTTTAAATAGTAATTGTAATAATTCAGTAGGTGATTTTATTTTATTTATTATTTAAAAAATTATTTATTTTGATTTATCAGCAACCACTTCCATATGCTTTTGAGTTTAAAATTTTTCTCCCCCTTCCTCCCCACCACCCTCCCCAAGATGGTGCACAATTTGATATAGGCTATACATATACATTCCTATTAAACATATTTTCACATTAGTGATGTTGTAAGTAAGAATTAATACCAGTAGGAGAAACCACCAGAAAGAGGAAACAAAACCCCACAGAAGAAAAAAAATAGCAAATAGTATTCTTTGATCTACATTCAAACTCTGTAGTTCTTTCTTTGGATGTGGATAGTTGTATGTTTTGAAAGTCCTAGATGTAATTAAGCCTTACATATGTAGAGTTTTGAGAAATAAAATTGAAATCTGACTTAAGGTGGTATATAGTAACTCATCAATGATTAAAAGTCATTACATCTGTAACATTTTAAAATCTTTTTGAAAGCGTGGTATATTGGATAGAGAGAAAGCTATTTGATGTTCAAATTCCCACCTTTGAAGCTTACTGGTTGTGTGATCCTGGGCAAATCACTTAACCTTTCCTTGCCTTAAGACTTAAGTTGTAAAGAAGGTGCTGATCAGCATTGGTAGAGGGAATTTGCTTTTTCAGGGAAGTCACAGGTCTAGCCACTGTCCTATAGTGATTACAAATCACTTTTTCTGAGTAGTCTTATTCAAAAAAAAAAAGGGGGAAGGGGGGGGAAAATCACACACAGTATCTTTTAGTATCTTGAATTGTTGCAAACAAAATAAAACAGTTCTGTTTGATGTCAGTGTATTGCTACAATACCTGCTTTGTATTCTCAGTTTTTCTCTTCTAAAGGTTACTTTATGTCCGAGAAGTACTTTGCAAGTGTTACTAGAGTAAACCAGCACAAGTTGCAGAGCTTGGTGCTGCTACTTTTGAATTTTTTTGCATTTTCTTAACACTTTTTATTTTTAAAATATGAAACTTGAGGCTCGAGCATAGAAAAAATATTTATAGAACAAGTAAAACTTATATTAAGCTTTTTTTTTTAACTTGGTGCTCATGAATACATTTTTTTGGACAAGTGGTAGTCTATGTTTATTTGCTGCCCAAAATCACTACACTGAAGCAGTTCTGGATTACCTTTTAAAGTGAGACTTTTATATAAGTTGGTTATGAGATCATTTTGGTGTTTCTTAATTAAACTTCCCTGGATGCCAGAGGGAGACAGGTTTTTATATTGACTCTTGCTAGGCAGATTGTGTAGTGGAAAGATCACTGATTTGGAGCCAGATGATCTATATTCAAATTTTTAACTCTACCACAATACCTGTATGACCTTGGGCA